ATTTTTTATTAAAATATTTTTATTAAAAATATACATTTTTATTTTTTTGGGCCATGGCCTGGTCGCCGGCCATGGCCAGTAAAATATTTTTTTTATTAATAATATTTTTTATTAAAATATTTTTATTAAAAATATATATTTTTATTTTTTTTTGCGATGGCCTGGTCGCCAGCCATGGCTAGTAAAATATTTTTTTATTATAATATTTTTATTAAAAATATATTTTTTTCTTTTTTTTGGCCATGGCTTGATCGCCGACCATGGCCTATAAAATATTTTTTTTATTAATAATATTTTTATTAAAAATATACATTTTTATTTTTTTTGGCCATGTCCTGGTCGCTGGCCATGGCCGGTAAAAAAAAATTTATTAAATTTTTTTTATTTAAAATATATATTTTTTTCTTTTTTTGCCATGGCCTGGTCACCGGCCATGGCAGGTAAATATTTTTTTTATTAATAATATTTTTATTAAAAATATATATTTTTCTTTTTTTTGGCCATGGCCTAGTCGCCAGCCATGGCCGGTAAAATATTTTTTATTTTAATAATATTTTTTATTAAAATATTTTATTCTCGTCAGATCCGGCGAGGGCGGTCCTCGAGCCAGACATTAGAAGCTACATTAAAAACCAAGAAAAGGAAGAAGAAAAAAAAATTGATTCTCAAAATTGTTCCCAGAATCAAGAAGCTACTTTTTTTTTATTCTTGAAAACTGATTCTGGGAACAATTTTTGACAAAATTGTGCCAAGAATCAAAAAATTAAACAAACGCATTTCTGTTCCCAAACTGATTCTGGGAACAAAAAAACAGAATCAAACACTGTTTGGCAAGTTGTCATGCGCAGCCTTAGTCTACCTCCAACTCTTTCTAGTGCGTTTGGCGTCGGCCCATTGAGGAAGAATTACAAAAAGGACTAAGGCTTATCCAACAAATAATGTAAAATTGTTTGGGGCATAAGTTCAACTCTATTGGCAGAATTTTAAGAGCACTTTCTTTGGCATTTTGATGAGGATTTCATACTTCAATCTGGTCTCACAAGATACGGTTTGGAATGTTGAAGGTGTCTAGTTTCTAATGGATCCAGTTCGATGATATTTGGAGTCTTCAAGATAATATGCTCAATTTACTAAGTGCTGCTAGGTTTACCATTGATTGAGTCTCCTAAGGTGGATTCCTTAGGAGATGAGCATCTACCCCGTCATATCCCCTATATCCTGAGCTGATTACTTAGGTGTTGAACATTTAATTTGTCACACTTATGTTACCCTTTAAATCTCCGATCACTCTAGTATCTGTTGGTAACGGAGCCTAGTGGCAGGTCGTTGTATTGGACTAAATGTCGCTGCACCCCCCAGACTGCGTGCATGACTACCGTGATGTCCAATTGGATGATTTGAGAAGATAAGTGCCACAACTCCAATAACAATTGGAGTAATCTTAATTGTCGAGGTATGGCGATTCCCGTCATGACAGGAAGGAGATGAAGAGGAGATGAACTGCTTCCATGATGACCATTCTGATACATCTTGTGTGAACAGGCTCCTTTGCGTCGCCGTTGAATTGTGATCTCACGATTTCGATGTCAAATTCGACATTCCAGACTTTGAAGGCACTATGCATCCGGAAGACTTCATCGACTGGCTCGACACAATCGACCAAGTTTTCAATTATAAGAATATTGCAGAGAATTAAAATGTGATACTTGTGGCCATCAAACTTAAAAGCATGCCTCGATTTGGTGAGAAAATCTGAAGCGTCGGAGAGCTTGTGAAGGAAAGTAGCATGTGGGATAAAATGAAAAAGGAGCTCATGAAAAAGTTTCTTCCCGAAATTTAGGGTGAATTTGTTTTGCGAAAAATATATTATTTCTAGAAAATATTTTTCAAGAAAACGATTTTAATTTTAGTGTTTGGCTGAAACCTACAAAGTATATTCCGTCATTTGGTAAGAAAAATTTGATGAGAAAAATTATCAAATAATTTGTATTTTCTTAATTACTTTTTATTTTTATATACTTTTCTTTTCTTTTTCTTTTTCTTTTTTTATTTATTTTCTTCTACCTTGGCCGGTCGCTAGCCACGACGATGGGCCGACGACTGGCCACAGGCAAGCTCTAGCCTCGCCCAAGGTCAGCGAGGCTCAAGCTCGCCAGGTGTCCCCGGGCAAGCTCGAGGCTCGCCACTAGAGGCCGCGAGCTCGCCCGATATGGCGAGGCCTAAGCTCACCAGGCTTGGGCGAGCTCAAGGTTGGCTGCTAGAGTTCGCAAGCTCAAGCCTCGTTGTCAGATGCCATGAGCTCGCCTGATCTAGCAAGGCCCGACCTCTCGAGCCGTTGCTGTGGCTGGCGATCGAATGAGGAAGAAGAAAACGAAAATAATAATAATAATAATAATAATAATAATAATAATAATAAAATTTGATTTTTTATAATAATAAAAGTCCGTTTTTTGAAAAAATAGTTAAAATTTTGATATTTTTAAATATTTTTATAAGAATAAACGTTTCATTAACTAAGGACCCAAGCCCAAATGCCGAGGACCCACGTATAGCCTTTGTGGACCTGGGCCTGAGGGACGAACTAGAGTTGGAGCGTCGTAGACCCGAGCACGGCTTTTATGGACTCAAGTTTGGGGGGGTAAGAACAGCATTGGTGCCAAAACTTGTGTACGGAGGCCACTTTGGTGCCAAAAGTTCCATTTGGATCACTTTAGTGCCAAAAAATTTGAAAAACGATCTTTTAAGTGCCATCTCCGATCTGATTGGTCGGAAATCTGACGTGGTAATTTTTTATTAGTATTTGAAGCCGACGTGGCTCGCCGGAGATACAGTGAGCACGCACAGTCAGCATTTTTTATTTTAAATAATTTTTTTTTCTTTTTTCCTTTTTATTTCTTTTCTTTCTTTTTTCCTTCTTTTCTTTCTTCTCCCTTTGGTCACCGCCGGTGACCGGAGGCCGGCCACCGGCCGCCTGGCCTCGCCCGGACGAGGCCGCCGCCGCCCGCCACAGGCGAGGCCCGGCCGACCCTCGCCCGGGCGACGGCGGGCAAGCCCCGGCGAAGTCGGCCTCGCCTCGTATAGGCGAGGCGAGCCCGGCGAGGGCTCCCCTCGCCGAGATCCGGCGAGGCCGGCCGTCGCCCGGGCCACGGCGGCCCCGCCGGGACGTCGCCCGGCGAGGTCGGCCTCGCCTTGCATGGGCAAGGGCGAACCCCGCGAGGGCTCCCTCGCCGGATCTGGCGAGGCCGGCCGTCGCCCGGCCACGGCGGCCTCGCCGAACGTCGCCCGGGGGAAGGCGACGCCCGGCGAGGGGAGCCTTCGCCGGGGCTCGCCCTCGCCCATGCGAGGCGAGGCCGACCTCGCCGGGGCTTGCCCGCCGTCGCCCGGGCGAGGGTCGGCCGAGCCTCGCCTGTGGCAGGCGGCAGTGGCCTCGTCCGGGCTAGGCCAGGCGGCCGGTGGCCGACCTCCGGTCACCGGCGGTGACCAAAGGGAGAAGAAAGAAAAGAAAAAAAGAAAAGAAGAAAAAAAAGAAAAAAATTCAGAAAAGTATTTAAAAAATCGAAATATATACGTGGAAATGCCACGTAGACTAATTTTTTTTAAAAAAAATCCAACTAAGATTAAAAATTTAATTATAAATGCCACCTATTAATTTGGCCGGAATTTCTCGCCGTTGACACCAAAGCGATCATTTTTCTTCCGATTTGGCACTAAAGTGATCCAAATGGAACTTTTGGCACCAAAGTGGTCTCCGTACACAAGTTTTGGCACCAATGCTGTTCTTCCCTCCAAGTTTGGGTATCGGAGCATTGGGTACGAACATCGGGGTTCGGGCTTGGCCTTGATGGACCTGGGGCGTGGGCGCCGGAGGCCTAGGCCCGGTCGTCGGAGATCTTGTCCTAAATGCCTGGACCTAGGAACCAACATTAAGGTTTCTATGCCCAAGCGAAGAGTTTCGGGTCCAAACGTCGATAGTTAGTCATATTTCGAAAAACATTTTCCGGTTCTATCAAAGAGAAAATCATTTTCCTAAATTTAAGCTTTTGTAAGAAAAGCTTTTCCATTGACTTGAAAAGCATTTTGTGTTGATTCATTTTCCTAGGAAAATCAAACAAACGTTGAAAAGCGAGGTAAATGTTTTCCCGAAAAATGTTTTCCGCGGAACAAACAGACCCTTATATGCGAGATGCTTTCTTCAAATTCCACAACTTCAAACTAGAGGAGCTATCTGTGGAAGAATACACCGCCCAATTTGAACATCTTATGGTTTCGATGCCATATGGTTGAGGCCGAGGAGTAAATTATCGGTCATTACCTTGGCGATCTTCGATCTAGGTGAGGGCCACGACCCTCGGCTGCAATAAAAAGAAATGAAATGAAATGAAATTTTCAAAATAATTAAAAAACTGAAAAAATTGTCCATGTCAGCGCTAACAATACCACGTAGGACGATCGGTGTCCAAGTCAGCAATTTCCGGCTAAAATTGATCAAATATGCTACATTGGATAAATGTCAAAAGGTTTATGACTTAATTTGCCAAATTAAAAAAATATATGACTGAATTAACACAAATGCAATAGATTTATGACTTTTTTGGTAATTTCCACCTTGGAAGTTGAATCAATTTAAACTTTTCTAAGGTTTCCTTGAGGGTTAGAGTATTTTGATTAATGATAGAATTCTTGGATTAGAGTTTTTACTTAATTTCATACCTCTTTGTTGGATTCCATTGAGTGGCAAGTTACGTTTCCTATATTCTAAGATGGATTTTTTAGGAAGTAAGTTTCTACCCCAGTATATGCGATGTATCCTTAGCTGGGAAAATCCTATCGATTGTAGTTTTATCCGGACCACCCAGTAAAGCAAGAAAAAATGAGACAACTCCTTAGGTCATGAGCATTTTTTTTTTGGTCGGAAGAAAAGACTGTTCATTGATATCTAGTAAAGACAGAACCCACTTTCGGGGTCTCAAAACAGAGTAGATCTCTAAGGGCCTGCGGAGGACGGGTCAATCAGTGTTTAGTGAGTGCTTTTTTTCTGTGTGTCTTAACTACCCAGTTTGCCACACTATTCCTGGACCTATTACAAAACTGCAGTTTTATGTTAGAAAACGAAGACAGCAGCTCACGTGCTTCACTGAGGAGAGCACGATGTTCCCATGGCATACCTTCTGGAGACTTCAAGCTGTTGACCAGATTTAGGAAGTCTGACTCCAGAATTAGGTTTTCACCCGCAAGAGGAGAGAGGAATTTGAGGGTTTTCACCATGGCTAGGCTCTTGGCTTGCTCGGTGGAGGAGGCGAGGACGTCCTTGGCAAAGCCATCGATTAAGATCCCAGCTGAGTTGCGGCATACACAAGCTATTGAACCTTCAAAGGAACCAGGTTGGTCAGCTACATCCATATTTACCTTTGTTTCGCCCCTCTCTGGGGGACTCCAGACATCCTCCTCTATGTGGTTTACAGCTTCAATTGGTCTGTCGAAGTTGTTCCATCTGGTGAAATTTTTGAGCAATTGTCGTCCTCTTTTAACCAGCAACTGTGGGTCCGGGAGGAGCCTTCTAAAGACGAGGCTATTCCTTGCTTTCTATATTTCCCAGAGGACAACAGAGACCAACTCAAATTCGGGAGAGTTGTTGCTGCTGGGTATGTATTTTATCAGCCATTCATCAATTCGGGAAGTTTGGTAGTTAGAGATCTGGATGTTGAGTGCAGGAACATCCCAGACTTCCCTCGTCCACTTACATAGTAGAAGTAGATGTTCTGTGGTTTCTGCATGAACTCGGTAGAATGGGCAATTCAGATCAGGTACCAGTTTCCTTCTGTACAAATTTTCCTTCGTTGGTAGTGCGTTTTGGCATATGCTCCATACAAAGTTTCTGATTTTGTGGGGAGTTTTCATTTTCCATATCCTGTTCCAGAGTTTAGTAGGAGTTTGATGAGAGGAGGAGGCAGGCTGTGCTTCTGTGTTTACATTTTTGCGAAGGGTGTTGTAGCCGCTCTTAACAATGTAGTCGCCTTCCTTCGTGCCAGTCCAGATTAGTTTGTCTTCATTCATTTGTGGTCTGATATGTACTGTGAGGATCTCTCGTACTACCTGTTCATTGAATAGTCGTCGCAAAAGCGGTTCCTTCCATGTGCTTTCCCCTTGGTCTATCAATTCATCAACCTTTTTTGGGTCCCCTACATTAGCCGGTCCCTCTATAATTCCTCTTTTGAGCCATTTATCCTCCCTGATGTTAATATTGTGCCCATTCCCTACTGACCACATGACCGAGTCTTCAATTGATGTGCGCCCCATGAGTATGCTTTGCCATCCCCAAGATGGTCTAGATCCCTTCTCTGCCTTCCAGAAGCTCTTGGTTGGGTAGTAAATGCCCTTTAAAGCTTGACTACACAGAGTTGTATGATTTTGTGCTAATTGCCAAGCTTGTTTGCCAAGCATGGCCTTGTTAAAAGATATTAAATCCCTAAACCCAAGGTCTCCCCTGTCTTTTCTCTGTTTGAGAACTTTGGCCTTCCTCCAGTGCACTCCTTTTGTTGTTGGTTGGTTCTTCCATCAGAAGGCTGTGATTTTTTCCTCAATAGCTCAACATACTGAAAGAGGAATCTTGAAAATTGACATGGCATATTGTGGTAATGCTTGGACAACAGTTTTGATCAGAATTTCTTTCCCCGCTTTAGACATTGTGTTCTCTTTCCACCCTTCAAGCTTCATATTTACCCTTGCTAGGATCCAAGCAAACATTTGCTTTTTAGATGCTCCCCAATCAGAAGGAATACCCAAGTACTTCCCTGTCTTTTCAATCTCTGGGACTCTTAGTTCTCTAGCCATATTCCTTCTTAATTCACTAGGGCAGTCCTTGTTGAAGTATATCCCTGACTTGTTCAAGTTAACTGCTTGTCCTGAGGAAAAGCAATACTGGTGAATGATTGCAACTAGGTTCTGACATTCTTGTAGCTTACCATCGAGGAAAAATGTTGAATCATCTGCAAAGAGTAGGTGAGATAGTACAGGGCAATGTCTATTGAGTTGTATTCCTTTTATAGTGCCATCTAGCACAGCTCTTTTCATCAGCATTGACAGGAAATTTGCAACCAGTATAAATAGGTATGGGGATAAAGGGTCCCCTTGCCTTATCCCTCTTGTAGGTTGGAAGGAAGGCTGGGGTTCCCCATTCAACTTGACACTCAAAGAGGTTGTTGTAACACATTGCATTATCAAATTCACCCATCTTTCATTGAACCCCATTGTAATCATACAAGCCTTCAGAAAATCCCATTCTATCCGATCATATGCCTTTTGCATGTCTAACTTTAGGACAGCCTGAAATTTTTGTTTTCGCTTGCGAACCCTTAATTGATGCAGAACTTCCTGGACTACAAGAATGTTAGCTTGGATTTGTCGTCCTCCTACAAAGGCACTCTGTTCAACTTCTATCAATTCCGGGAGCCATGGTTTCAGCCTATTTGCTAGCACTTTGGAAATGATTTTGTATGCGAAATTGCACAAACATATAGGTCTAAACTCTTCCAGCTTCTCTGGGTTTTTAACTTTTGGCACCAAAGAGATAAGTGTTCGATTCAGAAGGGGGTTTAACACACCAGTTTGGAAGAAGTTTCTGACCTCTGAAAATACGTCCTTCTTTATGACTTCCCAATGATGCTGAAAGAACTGGCCATTCAAGCCATCCGGACCCGGGGCCTTTGAGGTTCCAAGCTGGAACGTTGCTTGCTTAACCTCTTCTAGTGTTACGTCCTCAATCAGCCTGAGATTAGTTTCCTCCTTCACACGGCAAGAGGAATATTGAAGCAGTGGAGTAAACTGTCGATGTCCAACTAAGTGTACAGTTCCCTAAAGTAGTCATTTGTCATCCTCTTCAGTTGTTCTTGGTCTCGGGTCCAGTTTCCTGTCGAGTCCTTCAGCATAGAAATTCTTTTTCGTTGTCTCCTCTGTACAGTAGAGGCGTGAAAGAACTTAGTGTTTCGATCGCCCCACTTGAGCCAATTAATCCTCGAACGCATTGCCCAATACATCTCCTCCTGACTCCATAGCCTTTGAGTTTCATCCCTCAACTTTTGTAGTTGTTCTTTTTCCTTCTCAGCAGCTTGACTGTTTATTATGCACTGTATTTGCTCCATTAAGAGCTTAATCCTGTCCTGCCCATTTGTGAATTTCTTCTTACTCCAGCTTTGTAAGGCAGCTGCAGCTTTTCCCATCCTGATCAAGAGGCCCTCATTTGCAAGCGTTGAAGAATTCCATGCTGTATGTATAACTCCTCTGCATTCTTCATCTTCTAGCCAAAAAGCTTCGAAACTGAAATTTTTCTTCCTCCTCTTACGGGCTTGATAGGTAGACAATAGGATCGGGCTATGGTCAGAACCAATAGCCGATAATGCATATATTTCTGCCTCAGGGAATTGTAGTCTCCAATCCAGATTACTAACTGCTCTATCCAGTCTTTCTTTCACCAGCTCTTCTCCTTCACGATTGTTTGACCAGGTAAAGCCACAACCCTTACTTTCGAGGTCCATTAGTTCGCAGTTATGCAGAAACTCTCTAAAAGCATGGAGTCTATAATGCTCAGCCATTCTTTTGCCTACCTTTTCCCAATGATACATAATTTCATTAAAGTCCCTCAAGCACACCTAAGGCAGCTGGTTTACCTGACTAATTCTATATATTTCTTCCCACATCTTGTTTTTTTCCCGGTAGGTTGTTGGTGCATGGACAAATGTGACTCGCATTCTCATTTTATAGTTGTCCTCTTCACATTCGATGTCTATTAATCCCTCTGAAGCAGATAAGATTGATAAAGCAGCAGGGACATTCCACAAAATCGCTAAGCCGCCTCTTGTTCCCGTTGGGTTGACAACAAAGCACTCATCATATTTCAACATCCTCCTTACCCAGTGTATCTTTTCTTCTCTGTTTTTTGTTTCCATAAGAAATAGTACCTCGGGCCTTTCTTGAGCTACTAGGGTTCTCAAAGCTTGGACTGTCAGAGGTGTGCCCAACCCCTGACAGTTCCAACTCAAAATCTTCATATGGATCCCGGTGGCTTATTAGGGGGCTAGCCACCACAGCCCATTGTCCCGAGCCTTCCACCACCTGGATTGGCACTTCAAGCAGTTGGTCTTCATCTATGAGTAACGGTTTGTCCCCTTGAGAGTTGTATGGGCTGAACCTTCTAATCCTCTTGCGTACGGGAGTTTTCTGCCCACTTTATTTCTTTTTATTGGCACTAGTTGGTACCAGAATGAGATCTGGTTTCTTGGGAGGTGCCGGATTTCCAGCCAATGTAACAGGGAATTTAACCAAATGTTCACTTTGACCTGCTGGAATACTCATTGTAGTAAGTTTAGTCTTTGTGCTGTCCTGCTTAATATGCTGAATTTTCTGGATGTGGCTGGAGCTGCTCTCCTTGTAGATCACTATTTGTCCAGAGTGGGTAGGTGTCTCCGGGATACTTTCCTCTTCCATAGGTTCAACTAAGTCTTTCCCATGAAATAACTTCCTGAAAGGGCTGTTGCTACTTACCTCGGCCTTCAGCCAAGGGCCAAATAGTCTGTCCTCATTAGTGTTCACATCATCGACGCTAAAAGACACTTCTTCACAGTCAGAAGCATAATGGCCTATTTTCCCACAAGAGAAGCAAAAATATGGGAGCCTCTCATATTTAAAATCTAGCCAGATTTTCTTTCCTTCATTGTCAGCAAGCATTCCTGACTGCAGGGGTAAGTTAAGATCCAATGTCACTCGCACCCTTCCATACGACACCATTCCTTTTGTCTCAATTTTAACTTCTTGCACTTGTCCTATGTTACCAGCTACCTCTCGAACAACTTCCTCTGAAATCCACTCAAAAGGAAGCCCCAGAATATGTACCCAGAAGTTACACGAGTCAAAGTTGTAGCTTAAAGCTGTGGTATTTGGTTCCCATTGTTTCAAGATCAAGAGATTGTTCATGAAAGACCATGGACCTTGGTCCATCACTTTTTTCCTCATTGCTTGAGAGTCGAAGGTTATAGCAAAAATTCCTTGTTCTAACGAAGTAAAGTCAGCATTTTCCACTTGTCATGTTCTCCGCATTGTGTTTTGGAAAGCTTGAAAGTTGATTTTTGGATTTTTGAGGAGCTGCCCTATCAGAGTTAAATTCCCATCCTTGCCTTTCGCTGAAGCCAGAATCCCTTCGACATTCTTAGTGACTTTGTCTGACCACATTCTTCCTAATCTTTTGCAGAGCAGGGCCAACCTGTGGTTTGCATCTTCATCCGGTTCCATGGAGGTGGAACTTAATCGCAACTACTGTAGTTCCACGAGCTGAAGGACACAAGATTTACTGGTCTTCGCAGTTGAGTTTCGCTCCAGAGAGCGATTTTAGAGTAACGAGTTGAAGGGTTGTGGGTGGGTGTTGAGTTGACGAGGCATTAGGTTACTGAGGAGCTGTTAATGATTCATGGTGACTGAGCTAGATCGGGGAAGGAAGAAGAGGGACATTTAGGGTTTCCACTGGCTAGGCTACCCCAATGGGTAAAGGGAAGCTCTACCGAGAGAGGAGAACACATCACCCCGCCTCCCTTAACCACTAACCATAGACAAAGATTTACTCCTCAATCACCAACCACCGTCAAAGAAAACACCACACTCCTCTGACGACTTTCTAGCAGGCAATAAAGCAAACACTTGGTGTGCACTCACTGACACCTCAGTAATTGAAGTAAACGGGGAGCCACTCGAGCACCGACATCCCCGAGCACCACCAAATTGCTGTTGAACGGATTTACTTTGTCACATTTGTGTTAACTTCTAAATCTTCGACCACTTCGGTATCACCTGCATCCTCCTGACTCGCGGCAGCCCATCATTGTCCATGATCTCTTGACACGTGAG